CTGTCTACAAAGAAGGTGAAACATCTTTGTGAGGAAAAGCTACAACCTTAAAATTCTGATTTCACGTTAATGCATCAGTACTGATATTGTATTCACATGTAACGTTGTAAACACTAATACATCAGAATTAGTGCATTTTTTACACAACCTTTAAGTTTACGGTCATTTTAAATCGAGAATCATAGAAATAAGGATCTAAATGTTTTTCTGAGCTTCTATCCTTGGGTTTGAGTCTCTCAGTGGGAGGGATAGTTGTGAAACAGATTGTGGGAGATCTACGCAGACCTCTGTGTTTACACTAAATGACAGGCGGATTACAGACAGGCTACTTACAGAAAGCACAGATTTCACTACATCCCAGTGATCGTGTGAGCTCCCGCTGATTTCGCACCAGTCGTCCGCCTCCTTCTTCTTTTTCTTATCGGGTAGATGGCCATTCTGTTTCGGCCCGGATTGATCTAATCCTCCGGTCACACCATCTCTGTGTCCGAAATAACTCCGCGCATTTGCAAAGTCTGCTGCAGGCGAAGAGCCGTTAAAAAGCGACGTTGCGACCACAATGGCGAGAAGCGTAGAAATAATAGCAAATAATACAAAGGTTATATCCATTGTAGGCGTGCCTTGCCCCCGTGTTGTGACTCTTAAATGCTGCTGTTCCGCTTTCCGTTCACTTTAACCCACCGTATGCGCTCAATCGGCCATCCCGCTGCTTGCAGTAATCCCCACCAAACATCAACGTTAACGAGCAGCGTTTACGAGATGGTATGGTACAATCTCCTCTCCGAGCTGGACGTCACATCCTCTGGTTCCGCCCCTCACTCCATGTGAGCCGAATATCCCTGCGGTTATATCCCCAGGCTGTCGTGCTTGTCAGGTGGGCATGCACGGCCCTCTGCAACGTGCTGTGTCTCGGCTCGCCGCCCGTCTGTGCCGTTAATCGCATCAGCGGCGGTCCTAGCGCACAAAGCGAGAAACTAAAATGGTTTGTGACAGAGCCCGTGTGCCTAAGGTGCAGGCTGATGAAGTCAAGCCGGGTTTACCGACAGTTTATACATAAGGTGTTCTTACCTTAGTGTGCACCTTCCAAGTAGTCTGCATCACGGATTAAAGTGGAAGGTGAACCAAGAGCGAACTACATGAGATGAGATGGATGGATAGACTGTAGAGGTGGCCACAGTACGGATATTCTGTACTTAAGTAGAAGTACAAGTACTAGTGTTAAAAAAATTCTTCGGTTAAACTTCTTGATTCGGTTTTTTTTTTCAGTTAAAGTTAAAAAAAAATTTTGTACCAGTTATTTTGACGCAAAGCTAACTGAACTGTCCTAAATTCATGTAATAACACAATAAATAGGAGTACAAACTTTATTTTAGTCTAAATTTTAATACTAATAAATGTTCTCAATTTATTAGGGTCAGCGAGGGAAAGCAAATGTGTTTGGGACAACGAAGCATTCAGACCATGATTCTACATGCTAAAGCTACTGGACAGGAGTTTTTTAAAGGGCAAAAAACCCCAAACAAAAACAAATTACACATAACCAACACTTTTTATGTCAATAACCCTGTGTTATCAGAACAAAGTAGTCTTTTCTTTGTTAATGTTTCGTGAAGTGTGTTTGAATCTGCACTATAGACCCCAAAAAGGGTCTAAACCTACCAATAAAATGAGATCATAAACTCATTAAGAGAGTGTTTCTAAGGTTATAGACAAAGCGAGCCAAATACATTCTGTATAAATAATTCTATACAACCCTTTGATACTGGTCAAGATGCCCCCCCTACTGGCTATTAGTAGGAATGCAAATTTAAGCCATTACAGCACTTTTACTTCTCCTACCTTGAAGGAAAACCCATCCATCATCAATCCCTCCTACAACAAACAACTACAGTGTGCATCTGCAACTTTTAAGTTTGAATTTTTTAATAAATAAATGAATATACAGACTAAAGATCAACTTACAAACATAGATGTTGCTAATGTAAATGATGGTAAATAGTTTTACAACTACCCTGAGCACCAGTGCAGTCTCCTGTTTGATAAACTTTTCTGCTAGAAATGACAAATTGTCCACCAAAACTGTAGTTGCAAAATAAAATGTTGACATTAACTTTAGCAGAGTTCACCCACTTTAACTTTTCCATGCCCATCTTGGCTTACATGAAGCATTATAATTGTTATGGTTTTACAATTATAAGCACCCCATCAACAACTGCTGGGATTAATTATGGAGCCTGTTTTACACCCAAATCCATTTCAGAGTGCATAATTAAACATTAAATATCTGTTTATATTAATTTTATTTTCTGTTTTGATATAAATTCAAAATTATGTACATCAAAGGAAGTTTAAATCATTTATTTGCTACAAGACCACCAACTCCTGCTCCTCTTGGGAGTGTTTATATTGGCTCAGTTATTTATCAGCTGCTTATAGGCAAGTCCACAGATCAAGTTTTTGGGCCCAATAGTTTATCTGTAACATGGAGCCAGCTTTGAAGGTTATCGACTGCTGTATTTATCCTCTGAGGTAGTGTCAGTGTGCCGCCCCAGCCTTCCCGTTTGTGTGAACAATTCATTTTAGCATATTTCCACAGGCTTAGCAATGCTTTCAAGACAAAGTGTCGCATTTCTATTGTAGATAGATATTAGCTAACAATTAAAACATACTACACAGTGATGATGGTCATACACACACACAAAAAAAGGACAAAACACCCATCAGATTGTTATCAAGTATCTTAAATCAAAACCGTCTGTTGATATAAACACTTTGAGTTGTCAGATATCGATGGATCAGTGTCTTTGACTTGTGACAGATTATATGATGGATGCAACACCTCCACCTAGCTGAGGCTGGGGGTGTCGCACGTCCTGAGGAACTTTTGCATGCGAGGCAGACGTGTTAACCACTGAAAATCTTTACTGATGACTTCTGTTCCCAATAAATGGCACAGTCAGTGGAAGCACAAAAAAAACAAAAAAAACACAGAAAGAAAAAAGTCAAACACTGTAGCTTTTAACTGGAGTTCTATATTGCTCAGCAGCAATATAGACTCTAAACAAGCACAAAGTGTGAGAAATGAATTTATTTTAAACAAAAATGTTTATTAGCATTCACCGTAAGCACTTACAAGACATTTGAGAGGTTCACAGAGGAATGCAATACACATCATGAAGCAGGCAGAACTGCCCTTGAAACCCTTCAACTAAGAGTCCCACTGGAACCACTTTCAAAGACCAAGACCAGTTATCAACAGTTGATAAACCATAGAGAGGAGCAAGGGGGGGAAAGGAGGAGGGAGAATAAAAAGAAAAGAAAGAAGAGGATCTGTACAGCACATGGAGGGAAGGTGAAGTCACAAGACAGGAGAGGATGGATGATCTGCCACACCTGTGAGCTTACAAACCGGCAAACAGCAGCGGAGGGTCGAGCCCCGGAACACACCGGGCACTCAGCACCGCAACACGCCACACCATGTCACCACCGCACTGCACCGCATCTTAACAGCTAACCAGCATTATTCAACTGCTACACAACTGCGCCTAGTGCACAAAAGATACACAAGAAAGAGGGTTAGAGTCATAGGAAAGCAACTTTAACCAGACAGAAAAAAAAATTTGACAGAAAAGAAAAATGCATGCTGCTGGATTAGCAAGTCACAAATTAAGTGGGTTGCTTGTCACTGAACAACAAGCCATTTTCCAAGTAAGAGTGGTAAAACATAGCTGTAAATACACTGAATAACACCCCCCCTCTTTTTTTTTTTTTTAAAACAACTTCAAACTTTCCATAGCTAACTGGGAAGGGTGTGTAAACAAGGGTTTTCACTGGAGGAAAATCTTTAGTTCAGAGTAATTAAGTGTAAAAATCAAAGTGAAAAAAGAAAATTTAAATGAAGGAAGAAAAAAAACCTCACAAATACCTTTGAATAAGCTCAGCTTTACAAACAATGATAAATCATGCCAAATTTACAGAATTTGTTTAGGTAGATCAAGTCAAATTAGACATTTAAAACATGTTAGACCAAGTTCCAATAACCTTTGAGTCTGCATTCAGTGGCAATATTTGAGTCCACTTCAATCTGAGACTCTTCCTGATGTCCTCAGCATAGCATCAATCATTTGAGATCTGGAAGGAAAGACAGAACAGAGTTAGCAAGAGCCAAACCCAGAAGTTACATCAACTCCTGCAGCTGACCTGGATTATAACATGTAATTCTGTACTGATCTTTCTCCTGACACATCAAACTGGCTCTATGGACATTAATTTCTCTTAATAAGCCTAACATTTCTATTTATTGTCACAATAGTTAAAAAACAAAAACACGCTTCCTCTCCCCAAAACTAGCTCTAACAAGTCTCTTACACTCGGGCATATTTGAAAAACAAACCTCGGGGTCCGTTCCCTTTGTGAGAGGCGGAGGACACCACAGTGCATCTGCCTGTGGTCCCTGTGAACGTACCTCACCACACCACCTCATACACCAACTGACAGCCCGAACCACCGCCATGACGACCTGCTCCATAGCAACCACCGTTGCCTTGTTGACCTGCTCCTTAGTACCTGCCATCGCTCTCAGCAACAGGCAGGTCACATGGGCGGGTCACACACTAACTGCTCTCACACTGCAACACCCCCATCTCCTCCTCCTCCCTTTGCAAACAGGACTCCGCAGCTTGGAGGAAAGAATTCCACATTTAGGTGAACGTTTTGAGTGAAGCACCCCCCCCACACGTCCCAACCACCCACTCCCTCCCATACATACTCAACAAATATCCCAATCTCCCATTGCCTGTGCATGCTTTAGATTGGCTGGACATGCAAGCAAAGTAAAGCACACACAGAACTAGGACTGTTGGCTACAACAGTCCAACTCTTATTTAAATAACACAAATATCAGGGATTCTGCAGACTTTTGTATGTAAATGGCCATAATGTCAAAGACTGCAGAACACAAACCCAACTGGTGCTGATTACCACCCTAGTTCGTATAATTGAAACTAATGATATAAGCCACCCTTTCCCCTTTATACCGTCATGTTGCATCTGCATTTGGGTTAAGACTCTGCTCCGGTGTCCTCTGGGGATTTAGGTCTACTCTTGGATTTGGACCTGGACCTGGACTTCGACTTTGACCTGGACCCTCTGTTGGAAGCTGGGGTTCGACTCCTTGACTTGGACCTGGAGCGGGACCGAGATCTGGAGGGCGACTTTGACTTGCTTCGCCGAGGGGTTCTGGATTTGGACTTAGACTTGGACCTTGACCTGGAGTAGGAACGGGACCTGGAGCGGCTGTAGTGGTGGCGGCTCCTAGATCTAGAACGGCTTCTGCTCCTGGACCGGCTGTGGCTACGTCTTCGACGGCGAGGACTGGCTGAACGGCTACAGACAAAGCGAGAGAGAAACAATATAACAACTTAGCCAGCAAAGGTCCTACAGCTTTTTTTAAATAGGAAAAAGTGAAAGTAATTTTTTTCTGTTTTCATTCACGACTAAACAATATATTTAAGTTACCAACAACTATTTATACCAAATAATGCATTTGTAAACTACCTTGCGCTCTAGCCACCTTGTCAGTGAGGATTACCAGGCAATCTTTGGCTGGTAAACATTAACAGTGGAAGAATGCTAACTACTTTCGTTTAGGTCACCATGTGCTTTGCAAACAGCTTAGTGTAAACAGTCCCTTGCGCTAAACTAACGACCTAAATTACCTTCTGCTTCTGCGTCCGTATCCGTATCTCCGTGGCGGAGGGCCTCTCCGGCTGTACATGGAGTCTGGCGGCCTTCCGTATCGAGCCATCTGAACCCGAAGCTCCCGCCCGTCGAGCAGCGCGCCGTCCATGGCGTCCATTGCGTCTTCGGCGTCGCGCTTGTCGAGGAACCGCACGAAAGCGAAGCCTCGGCTCTCCTTGGTGTACCTGTCCCGCGGGATATACACATCTCCCACACGGCCGTATTTCTCAAAAACTCGGCGCAGAGTCTCCGGCGAAGTTCGGTAAGTCAGGTTGTCCACCTTTAAGGAGGTCATCCCCTCAACGTCTGGCGGCGGCCTTCCGTAGCTCATTTTCTTCTCCGGACAACTAAGCAGGCCAATTAGGACAAAAACCTTTAGACCCTAGCGTGCTATTAATCCGCTACAATGCTAGTTAAAGCTGTAGCTGATGAACTGAATTTGAAATCTCGCTGTTTTTCTGATAGTATCGCTCTGCTCGTTTCTTTCACCGCGCTGT